GTATTTTAAATACGTAACGGCGGTACATGTATTCCGTTACTTCCCAACACTGCATACGGTACAGTAGACGAGTCATATGGCTTAAAAATATTAAACTGCACACTGCCGTAAGACATACAACACCCTAGACAACTCATTTTCACAAATACTGCTGCTTGCAGTTTTATTATCTAATATTTTTAATCAGGAATGTTAATGAAATGACATTAATCAGCACATAGAGATTGAAAATGGTTATTTAATAAAACATTTTCACATTTATACATATTTTGGGACAAATACACCAGCATGGAAAACCAGAGCAAGATAAAAACTATCCCCCAACAAGTCTGAAGGTAATATTGGGTGATGCAAACAGATAATATACAAGTAATAAACATAATAAACATACATAAACATGCTTACATACAAGCAGTATCATTCAGTACAGGCTGTTCATGCAAAACATTTGTCATTACATAGTCAAGTGAGACCTTTAAGTTCTTCCAGCTTGGCTCTTAATGGAGGCTGATAATTGTTGGTTAGTACTTGAAAGTCACTGTAATAGCACAGCTTGCCCTGAAGAGGGTGTTACAGTTCTACAACAGGCTAACAAACTCCTCGTTTGGAATTTTCCTCCAAGGGCTGCTTGAGCCAGACGTCAAGTTATCTTCATTAGCGGTGAAAAGCTGTGAATATAACACATAAGGTGTGCAAGGTGGAAACTAGGTGCATAGGCAATATAATTAAGAGCAGCAAAATAAATAAATAAAAAAAAATGCTGGAATCTAACTGAATTAAATAGCCTCATTCTAGATTAGTTATAAATGAATATTTTAAAAAAGTGTTGCATGTTAACAAACAGGCCCAGTACTGCTGCTCACCTTTCTGGTTAATTACGAAACAAACCAATGAAGAACGAGCAGATGCCCTGCATCGACCTCCAGCAATTCTGCCGAGCCATTCTTTTAGCGTTGCTCTCAACAGCAGGTATTGTTGATGGTGGTTGAGTACTAGTTTCCTGAATGGTCTTTTCTTTTTGTGGCCATTGAATGGATTGGACAGCTTGTCTTGTTGGTGTAGGCCGACGTTGAGGTCTTGCTACTTTCCTAGAAGAAGCCTCTGCTCGTGACTGGAAGACTGAAGATGATGAGAAGACCATCTGAGAGTCATCAGTTGCCTTCCTGCACATGTGAGGTTTAATCTGTCTTGGTGCTTGGCAGGCATTGTCCAGCTTTCTCAGGTTCCACATCATCTGCACGAAATAGTGTCGAGGATTTTTGTTGTAAGGGGTGCAGGTGTGAGGCTTGCCTATGTAGTCACACCAGTAAGAGCGCTTGTTCCTCTGGCATGACAGTCTCAGCCTCGTGAATTCCCCTTGACCGGTGACAATCATGGTGCATGAGTCTTTAGCCTTGGTGCTGAATTTGATCGGTGGATCCCAAATGCTTTGACCCCTTCCAGTCTGAGCCTCAGCTGGCCAGAGGCAGCAGGCGAGCAGCAGAGCAGCGGTCTGGGCCCACATAGTTTCCAATGGGTGCTAAATGTGAAACTACTGGAAATGAGCGTCCCTCCTGCTTTTTATTGGCCAAGCAAAGAAGGAATTCAGGCTCCAAAAAAAAAAAAAAAAGAAAACAACCCCGTAGACTAAAAGAGGCCAGCTCCATGGGAGGAGGAGTGTGGCCTTACCAGTTACAGCTGCCAGAAAAAGGAAAGTGCTACGTGCAAAACGATGCTGACACATGTAGGTGTTCTGTTAAAAAAAAAAGAAAAGTGCATGTAACCACTTCTCTGTCATGTTAAATTTACCTCATGGAAAAACATCTTAGTTTCACTTGTTAATAAAAGTTCATTGCAGAATGCAGGCTTAAAATGTCTTGCTTGCTGTAGAAAACAGTAAGAGCTCTTAACGATGTAGTGCAACCTATTATTTTCCTAAAAGATCTAAAGTATAAAGAGAAGTGTGAGAAGCCACTCAAACATTGGTCATAAAGTGTATTATGAGTGTCTTTAAGAGGCTTTATTTTCTGGGTCCATCTGTATCTGCATTGAGAGTGCTGTCAGTGATAGAAGAACGAGACATGGTACTCAAAGAATCTATACAGGCAGTATAACTTCCAGGGTTTTAGTGTTTTGAGACTAAGAAGCAATATATCATTGATCTGCATTTAGACCACAATTTTAGAATAGCTAAAAATTATATTCAGTTGTGAATTTTCCATCAGTAATTTGTCTCAGTTTCTAGATGCACGAGTTGAAACTCTTCAGTGCCGGTTGGTGCCAAACACAATATTAGCAGAGTTTCTTCTTAAAATATTCACCACCCTTCCCTGTGAATGTTTCCATTTCCCTGAAATATCAGCATGTTCATTCCCACACTTGAAAAAAAAACTATACAGCAGAAAAATAAAGTTTCACGGGATTGTTTTACTTTGTCGATGTGCAGGGCACCAGAGAAATTGATACGTGACAAAGCAGCGACAGGCTTTAAAAGCTTTCTGCTGTGGGTTAAAGGATTTCCAATGACTGAATATTTTCACGTGGGCTGCCCACTGTGCATAACGACAGTATCAGAGCTCAATTTTGTCCTGTAAAGGCAAAAGTATGGTGGCCAGGTGAGCTCACTACACTATAAGGAAAAAGGAAACATCATTAATATTTCATTGAATGTGCAAAATACAACATAACCAAATAAATAAAATCTATTTATTTAGGAAATGGAGTAACACCTGCAAATTGCATGTGGCAGAGCGATACTCGTCAGCGGTGCTGAAAAACAATGAAAAAATGCCTTTTGTGTTTCCTGAAAAAAATTCCATTGTGTTCTTTATAGTTGCGCTGTGTATATTTTAAAACTATGTGTGAAGTACTCTCCCCGGCACAGCGTTTGATCTGATGTAAACACACTGAAGAGGGTTTCTCTGAACCGCTGCTTCTGTTTTTATGTAGTTTTGTGCTCATCTCTCTCTACACAAGCCTTCTTAGAAGTAGGGCTGCTATGCGGTTGTAGTGGCGGTGGTTATTCATACACTGAACTATTTAATGTCTCAGAAAACCTCCAACCAGAGGAACAAACAAATGCTTATGGAATATGATAACCTCTTAGAAATAGCTGACCAGTAACATAACAGTGGCAGCACCACATAAGAATGTGCACTCTTGCGTTAAACTGTTTTCCTTTTTAAGTGTTTTTGTCTTGTTTGTTAGAAAACCAAATAAAGAAAAAAATGAAATTGTTGTGAACTACATTTGCCCATTTAAAACAAGTTAATCCAAACTGTATGGCTCATTCAAAACACAGACCAACAAAAGAAAAATGTCACTGAAATGCAAACTTTGGATTTTAAAACTTTATTCACAATTTATACACTTTCTTTCCATCACATCATATAAACCTACTGTTCAGTGGCTCCATCAGTGCCCAACTTTGGAGCATCACAGTTCAAACCAGTTACCGCTGTATCTGATCCATCCAGGGTTAGCATACAGGATATCTAGTGTAAGCACTTAGTAAATTCAAACATTTTTTCTCTCACATCCAAACTTTCGCAGAAACCCAATGATAGTCCTGTGAGCACACGGATACTTCGAAAATGTCCATTTTAACAAGAAATGTGTCTCAAAATAAAAAGAACATCAGTGACTCAATAGAAGCCCGTCTGTGTTTAAAGTTCAATATAATTCAGAAACTTCATCTTGATGCTGGGAGTTTCCTACACTGCAAATATGTTCTATTACTACATCATAATTTAGGTTTATCTATACAGAGTATTTCTTTTCTCATCGTCACTTAGCCCTGGTTTACAATAACAGAGCTTTGGAAATTTAAATATTGAAATAAGATAAATAAACTGGATATTTCAGTCATATTTCTGACGCTAATTCATTGATGCCAATGTTAGAGACAAATATACTTAATAACTTTTGTTTTCCCCTAAATTAGTGATTGTGCGGTACTTTAAAGAACAACTGTGCTATGTTAACAGAAATATATGTTTCAGTGTTAAGATGGACATTTTTTTGACAGTGTGCATCAACACCATGCTGTGCAAAACATGAAGCATGCTTATTTTTCTACTCTTGATTGACAGCACTCACTATTCCCAATTATGGATTGTCTAATTTCTTTTCGCCATCCTTACTCTGCTAACAGCAGCTGCAAATCTAACCTGTAAAGAGTGGGACAACTGGATGTGTTTGCCCATTGCGTTACACATAGATTTCAGCATATTTCTCAACTTCCATATCAAGCGTGAAATAAAAAGAAAATAGCTCTTGAATACATTCACTTTTTTCATAGCTTTAAATGTATCCATAGCTACTGTGGGTTTATACAAAGCAGAGGAACAAAATAAGCACATAGTTGATAGACCTCTAAAGACCTGAGAACTACAGTTTAAAAAAAAAAAGAAAGAAAAGATTTGGCTTGAGAATTATTCTCCACTGTAAAAGTATCACCACTACGAAAAAACAAATAATAAAAATATTATGTTAGTGAACTCAACAAAACTTGGTCCCATGTGACAAAGGATTCAATCTGCCACACAGGGAACCTAAAAGCCAGACATTTGTCTGTTTGTGTTTTGAATTTAGTCTATGATTTAAAGGGAAAATCCACCTAAAAAAAAAGCTTACACTGTTGGAAAAAAAACTGGTGTGATTTTGTTTTATGGTGTTGAAGGTCTGTCCACATCAGTAACGTGCTATTTGGGGGGTGAGACTTCCTCAAGGTTCTTGTATACCTGAGATATCCAGAAATGATTATCAAAACAAGGGCAGAGGAGGTGGGAGGTTAGCCCCAACATTTCTGCCCCATAGTACCATTAAAAAACCAGCTTACCTAATCTATGAGGTTTCATTGACCCATCAGGAAGCATTTAAAACCTAAAAGATTAAAACATATTCAGAATTTGAATTGGAGCAATCTTATTCCCAGGGCATCAAATACAGTAATTTTGTCTGAGATGCACATTTTGAATGTAGGACGTTAGTACTGAGACGCACCGGCTAATAGTGAGATGACTGTTGCTATATGGACTCTTAATTACAAGAGTCCAATTAATATCATTTTTTCAAGTTGCAGCGTTGTTAAGGGGAATATTTTAATCGAAATGGCCGTCTTTTCCTAAAAACAACCAGCTAGTTCTCGTGCCTAAACCCGACCAAGCACCCAGTGAAGGTGAACGTAAAATGACAACATAATGGACATGAAACACAAACACTGAAAAACCTGTAATTTACATCATCACCACCTTGCCTCCCACATAATAAAGATTAATATCCTGGTCTCTCAGTATCAAATATTACAGTCAGTGCGTCTCCATATTAACACCACAGAACACCTCGCAGGGATCAAAGAGGCCAGCAGCCACAGACAGAATGGCGGTGTTTGACACCCTGGGAAGATAATGCATGAGCAAAACATACTGCGGACATCATCGCCACAGTAGAAAGCATTACAGAATTAGTTTGTTACATTTCATTTCATCTTTTTGAAATAAAGTAATTTTACATCCCCACTGGATACAAATGACTTGTTTAAAAAGGCATTCTGGAAAAATGTGGGGAATTGCCACCTGTAGATGTGGATGACAGGGTACGGGAAGATAGGTATTCTAGGAAAAAGAGTACAGTTTGGATCTTTACTGCACAAATATCTCCCAGATTGTTGATTTTCAGCAGTGTAAGATTAGCTGTTGGCAGATTTCCTCTTTTAAAAAGTAGCAGCTCTCAAACTCCATACAAAGGCAACCAGTCTTTTGTAATGCGCATCAAACCAGCGAAGATAAACGTTCCTGTGATATTGTAAACATTTTAAAGAGACTAATTTTTTTGTAGAATACCCCCTAACCTCTATTTTACCACTTTACTCAAATTCTCAATCATGAAGACACCACAGATCCACCACTTCACACATGCTGCACTTAAAAAAAAAGGATGTGCACTATTCAACACTTTTTAACAGGCTGTTATCGTTAATTTGCATTCATCACAGATGTAATGACACACTGCCACTAGTTTGAGTCGAAAGTGTCACATCTCTTTAAATGCAGGAAGCAGGAGAAGGAAAAATAAAGAGTCCTCTGCTTGCAGTTACCTTCGTCTGACCTTCCAGCTTTTGTTTTCGTAAGCACAAAGAAGCACATTAAAATGAACAAGCATCACAGTTAATGTCATGTCCTGTCACTGAATATTTTTCTGCTTCGTTTCATATCTGAACAAATGTAAACGCAGACAAAGCAGTCCTTTACAAAAAATGCAGAACAAGCCTGGCTCAGATTGATGCTGAGGGGAGGAGAGTTTGATGTCCTGCAGGCTGTAACCGTACTGAAGGCCGAGAAGGTTCGGTTCGTCGCTGAAGATAACGCCTGCAGGGCAATTGTTCTTTTGTTGTGAGGAAACCAGCTTTCACTGAGCCTCATCTGGTCCAAGGATTTAGGAAATTAAAAGCTTAAAAACAGATGAGAGAATAACATGCTTTAGTTAGTCAACCCCAAAAAAGACATTTGGTGGATGTGATGCAGGATAAAGTTAGTTCATAAAGTATGTAGACACAATCACATTTTGCACATTTTACTATAATGTATAATGTACTGAAACATGCGTTTAAGAAAGTATTTCAAAAGGTATTCAGACATACAGACATAGATCAGATCACAGGTATAAGCCTATTTTTAAATCTTTAAGCAGGTTTAAGATATATGGCCAAACTGTGTGAAGAACTAGCAGTTCTCTCGTCATGTAGATGACTAAAAATCACTCTAACAGAGCTTCAGTTGTCCTCTGCACAGATGGACGACAACGTACGTAAAAGTACAACCTCTTTCATTTATCAGGTTTTTACGGTAGGGCGGGTATAAGATACTATACTCCTTTGAGAGTGAGATCCTGGATTATCTGGGCAGAACTCCAAGCATGATATTAGTTGTAGCTGTCAGGGTCAAGTGGTTGACCGTTTGGTCAGAGTGGACTAGAAACTAATCAATACAATGTCAAAGAAGCTGCCAATGCAACTTGCCTAACAACAAATTCTAAAAATACTGTGAGTACTGTAGTAGTGAGTACTGGCATTTGTCCAGATTTGGAGCTGAGCATAGTGCTACCTTACAGAAAAACAGATCTGATGCAATTTGGATTTTGTTCACATAATTCTGCAGAAACAGCAAATTGGGTCTTTGTCTTTATCATTAAACGTCCATCCTCATTTATGTGGCCTAATGAGCAGGGTGGTTGTCAACCTGCAGCTTTAGCATCATTGTCAGGGTTTCCTTTAGAGCAATTTGCAATCCCAGCAGTAGTAGTGCAATCTGACCAGACTGCTACCACTGCATTGGCAGCTCATTTTGGCTGCTTTCTAGACATCAACTTCAAGTACTAATAGTTCAGTTGATACCTAATATATCCCATCTTTTGACAGATGCCACTGTGATGATGAGGGGTTTAAATCTTATGGATGATCGGTGCACATACTTCTCAACCACTGTCCTTTTTAAAATGATAATTATTTTTAAAGTGTAAAGAAGCTACATAGACTCATTGCACCACATAGCACAAATCAACATTTTAAAAAATAAATAAATAAATGGGATCTAAAAATTACCCAGGCCCAAAAGAATTTTTGTTATCTTCATAGTGATGAGCTGTCAAGTTACTATAATTACTAATTTTGCAAACTTTCCCACTTCCTTTGGGGAAAATTGGATTTGCAGAGTGTAAGCTGCCTGTTAAATTGTCACTTTAACAGCAACAGTACTGAACTACTTTAATACCAACTATTGATCCAGGAATCGAAACTCATTCTGCTGATAAAGCCACGGTGGATTCAATTTAAAATGCAAAAATAGTAAAAAGGCAAACCTACTATGACGTATTTCAGTTCCAGTTTTCGAGGGCACTGAGAACACAAATGTTAGAGAAAAGAGAATTAAGATTTAGTTTTTTTTTAAACAATTCAGTAAATAACTTAAAACATACTGCATTTCTTGAATGAGATTTATGGAGCTCTGGCTGCTTTGTGAAGCAAAAAAAACAGTCTGTCATACTCCAGAGAATATTTTTAAAGACTACACCAAGCCTTTTGTGGATACAATACTCGCATGAAACCTGCTTTCCACAGAGATTAAAGCATTTTCCCTGTTTTTGAATTTAAAACGATTCTGGAGAAAATTTGATATTTAATGAACTGCAACTCAAAGATATCATGATCATGTACCAAATTTAAAATGAGAATAAAAGCAGGTCTTTTTTAGTTCTGCAACTGTGAGAATAATATAAAAAAAAGGAATATTTATTTCAAAATAAAGAAAGCCTGCAAGTGTTGAAAATGAGTTTTTCTCAGAAATAAAATAAAACTTAATAAATTAAGAAAATAACAATTAATTGTGCAATTCATTACATGTAGGTCTTTAACTGCCACAGTATTACCAGCAGCTTATGGTGATGTTAGCCAGTTTACATCACTGTAAAAATTGCATCAGCTAGTTTTCAGATACTGCAGCTTTTCTCTGTACTTGTTCTGCTTTTCCATGACACAAGTACTCAGTTAGGAACAATTCAGTACAATACAGTCCAAAAAAACAACACTGCCATTATAAAGTGTCTAGACGTGCAGCTTGCAGCAGCAGTGTGAGGTGTTGATGGCATAGTACAATGCACAGAATTTAAAAGTACTCCTATTATTTTGTAAGTCCCATTAAGAAACCCAAGGAGAATAAAATATTTGGAGAAAAGCACATTATACCCACTAAAAACACAACCTTTTTTATCAGAGACGTGCAGTTGTTACCACTGCTCTGTGGTATTCACGCGTCTCAGTTTCAGGAACTTAAAAGCTAAGTGACTGAATGTATTTCACGGCTTGTAATTGTGACACATTTAACATTTTCTCTGAAAAAGGCATAAATGCAGCGTTTGTCAAAAACAAAACAGAACTTACAAGCGACAGAGAACAAACACAGCACACGGACTAAGCAAGCAGTCACACTGAATAAAGACGTTAATGATTCCAAAATTAGTCATTCTCACCATGATGGTTCTTCAGTGAGCAGAAATGCACTAAAACAAGCTGTAAAGAGGTGTTACAGTAAGAGAATTAGGTCAGGGTACAAATACAAAAACATAAGACCAAAAACAGGAGAGAGCACGATGGCACAGTTACTGCAGACAGAACGTCAGGATAAGATGGCAGCTGTGAGAAGGAAAGATGTGAGACTGGAAAGAAGGAGGATTGATTAAAATCATGTTAGAGAAACAGGTGTCTGATTCATTAGCTTTGCAGTACCTTTTAGGAGCCAGAACAAGAGGCGGCTCTGTCACCAGTCGATGTGCCTCGGAGGAGCCGAGGCCCGCGGGAACCTGTTCATAGTATCATAGGTAGGGATGCTACCAGCACGAGAACACACAAGATACACAAAAAGGAGACAACGTTAACAGCTAAAATTCAACAAATCCATCATCGTTTTGTAAAGCCGCCGGTTTCTCCTCTTCATTTATTTGAAATGGAAGAGGAGAAAAGATGAGCGGCTCACAAGGCAGAGAGCAAAACAGCTGCATCGATATCGACTCAGTTAAACTGGACGGCCAATTAAAGAGGCATTAAGTACAATTATGACTGCAAATAAGAAATATAGTAGTATTTCACGAGGCTGTTGCCATGGTTATTGATAATACCTTCAGATTACCAAAAACTGATGCAAAAATCTTTCCATCTCCTGGACTGTTCCGAACAGCAGAGAAAGGTCATCAGAGGTTGTAGAATACTTACTGCCCCTTTATTTTTTTTTAGAGAGCTTTGGCTAGATCTTGGACTTTTAACTGGATAAATAAAGGAAAATGCAGGTTTCATTCCATCTCATATTTGTATTTAAAAGAAATATGAACTGCATCTCATATGAAATGTAGGACAGCGAGGAAATATGCACAAGCAAAGACCATCTTGAGACTGGACTCATCTGTAATTTAGCTGTTTTGCTCTCTGCCTATAGCTCCTGTTAAGGTTGGCTGGTTGGCCAAACTCATCCCCGTCCAAATGCAACTTAAAAATACATAACATGCAATTAGATGTTTTGTTAGTTTAAGGGAAAACAAATAAAAGGAGCATTTCCAGCATCACACAAAAGCTTGACATGCTTGCCTCTCTCTGAACATAATGATCAGGTGTACATTCATCGGACTTTGGCTGACTCTAAACGAGAGGAAAGAGGAAGATTCTTCACTCCACCAGAACGTCCCAGTGTGCACAGAGAGCATGCCTAGTTAGTAACATATTCCTCAAAAGACACAAAGTAAAAAAACTGGCAAAATGAGAAAGTGAAAAGCAATCGCAGCAGTTCCTAACTAAACATGTAACTAAAAACATTAAAGGTGGAGGAAGAAGAAAAACTACATCAACCAACCACAACACTTTAGTATCTTAAGAAATAATACTATGTAAAGCACTTGAATACTCCTCCACCTCCAACACTGGTTGTTTTGCGTAATAGTTGAGCATTAGAGGTCCGGGTAATTTGATTTTTTTCATCTTACACAAAGCCAGGCTATCATTTTCCTTTAATTCCAGCCTTTAAATTACATTAGTACCTCTTGCATTGCTCAGTGCTTGCGCAGAAGTCATGGTGTTACCATCCTGTTCTCCTCTAATCCTACAGAATCTAGATACTGCAATACATTACACAATTTGTTGATAATACTCTGCTGGCCTTTTTAAGTTTTCACGTTTTCTGCTGCCATTACTTTTCAGCTTTCATATTATTTTAATTTTATGACCTCCAGATATTCAATATGTCTACACGTGTACATGCAATGAATCAGCTCCCCTGCAGTCTTGCACTATGCCAGGCCAAGCTCCTCCGGCATGCTTCCACCTCCACCATCACATGCAGTTAACAGGTTTAATGTAATGTTTACCTTGTCATCATAGGATTAGGAATACCTTGCAAGCGCTCACTATGATAACCATTATTACCAATTTCCATACTGAAAACAAAATATTGTAAAAACAAAAACAAAAACAAAAAAAAGAGCGATGAAAAATGTAAGGTAATACGCCATGCTGAAATGCTTGCAAACAAATGCTTTCTTTTTTTTTTTGGAGAAGCTAAACTTTTCAAAGATGTTAGGAAGTACACATATTTGGAGTAGAAACCATGTTGTTGTTATTTACACTATAACTTACAAAAACAGGTGGACTTGTAAGGTAATGATTGCAAGAGCCCTTCATGAAAGGTAAGGGGCACTTTTCAAAAGGTAGCACACGACAAGAAGCCACACCATCCACCCATAAGAGCAATTCCAAGCTTAGAAATGCAAACCAGCACCAAGAATTTAGTAAACAGTTCTATGTACAAGAATCAGAGAAAAGCACAGAGTGAGAGACGTTGAAAAGGAGAGGGAGGTGGATAAAATGTCTTACGTTTTCATGGGAATTGTCTCAGGGCTATAAAGATACACACAAAAGAAAAAAAAAAAAACAGCAACATAATATCATTAAGTTGGTAAAGGAAATGCACCAGATAGTTTCTTGTAATCAGTCAGATTACAAAGTAAGGGACGCCATTGATGATCCGAGACGTTATAGAAAAAACTACTGTATGACTGCAGAGTCAAAGAACGTTAAAAAAATGTGTGTAAAGAAGAAAAATAAACAAACAGATGTGCCAATACTTCTTTTTAAAGTGCCAAGTGCTTGATAGAGAGTGATGGGGGAAAAAAAGTTTAAATAAGGGATGTGGGAAATGGAAATAGTAGAAATGGTTATCACAAAGTGAAATGCCAAGTCCCAGAAACAGAGGAACTACAGAGAGGAGAAAAGGGAGGAAAAGAAAATCAACTGTAAACTTGTAGAGCCAACGTGACAAGCAAGACCCATTCAAAGTTCATTTGACTGCAATAAACCCCAAAAATCCAGCTAAAATATTTATATAAAAAAATAAAAACTTGATTCCTTCATATGATTTGCAGCTTAACATGCACAAAGCAGACAGAAAAGACAGAATAGAGATAACAGAAGGATGTCCTGCAACCATTATCAGAATGTGACATGTCTCCTACAAAGATTATAAACTGTCTTACAGTATGTGGACATTCACAGAGCAGTGTAGATGTTACTTAACTTTACACTTACTCGGTATTTAATATGAAAACTATAAATACATTTAAGGAAAAAGTAGAAGAGCATGTACAAATACTCACTCATCGTAAACATCCTCTGTGTCCATCCTGCGGTAGTACTTGGCCAGTTTTACTGCTAGAATAATGCTCGGGAGCAGGAGGAGAGTGCTGCAGCCCAGGCCCATCCAGAAAGTGTTCTGTTGGAAAGGCAAGTACTTAGGGTGGAAATGATAACCTATCAGGATATAAATTCATAATTATTTTAGCCTTCTGTTATTACTGAGGAAAGATTTCATGCAAAAGTTCAGGCTATGCAAGTAATATAAAATATGTCTTCCCTCAGGACATTATATAAATCAAATGAATAATAGATTAAGATCGACAGTAGTCGCTCCAGTTAGAGCCATTTAAAACTGTCACACTTTTGCTATGCTCATAAATTTTATATTTTATCATCATTTACTCCATCAAAACAGTACTGGATGTGACTTTTACAGTGGGAATCAATGTTCTTTACCCAGTTATAGAGTTTTTTAACCCAAATATAATCTGTTACAAGTCTGTTTAAACAGGGTCTGTCTTCCTGTATTTCTAATATTGTTACCATAGAGTCAACCACGAAACTGCAAGCCATGATTTCTGCCGTGTCCACCATGTTGCTGAAGGGCTTGCATGGTGCAACTTCCATAGCCAGCTACAGAGGATATAAACAGGAAATGTCAACACACAACAGATTCAGTAACACTGTACAATTATGTTGCACGTTAAAGTCTGTCTTGGAAATGTAAACAATTGCACAACGTCTCCTTGCAGTGTTCTTGGCAAACAAAAAGAGACTTCTGAGATCAACAGAAAAGCTTCATGATTAAAGCATCTTGTTTGTTTTTTTTTTACTTTCATTCCTTTAGTTAACTAAAGCAGAAACCGACATGCCACAGAGCAAATTCCTCAAATTTATAGAGGTCGTAACTGTTATATTTGACTTCTCTTTATACACTCCAAAACCTTTATGCAACATGCAAAGTTTTGCAATGCAACATTCGCTTCAGGCTAAATTAACACTGTGAGAAATAGACCCACACCTTCAAAGTGTTAACAAATTATGATTCAGGGAGACAGAATGTTCACATTCCAGCAAGTGAAATATGGTGTTACTGAGAATTATTTCTTGGAATTCCTTCTGAATTTTATTCTTTGTAGTTTGAGACATTTTATTGGAAGACTTGAAGTGATTCCAATAGAATCAATGTGAGTCGACAATAAGTCTCAATGTAGACGATTCAAGTAAAAGGCAGATTTAAATGCGATCTGACTGCTGTAGAGCCTGAGACCTAGAATGTCTTGTGTGTCCAGCTCTCCAGTGTCGTAGTATCTAAATCTGCCTGAGAAAAGAAAGATTTAATATGAGCTTTATATCATTCCTGAAGTCAGACAAAGAATGAGCCGTGTACTATATATCAGATATGATAAATTTGATAAATGACATATCTGCTGATTGAAGTTTTCATCGTTTGTGGAAGTGCTATCTAAATCTTGGTGCAGGTTCTTAATGATCAGTAACAGGTTGATATTTGCTAAAAAAAAAAAAAAAAAAGGAAAGGAAAGGAAAAACAAACAAACAAACAAACAACCTTTTTTGCAAAAATGTAATTTTGTTTCCCCTTCTTAGAAAAAATAGCAAATTAGCACACCAAAACTTACAGATGTTTTCACCCATTCAATGTATTGATGAAAGTAGCCAATAATGGTGGTGGTGTACTTTCTGGACTCCTAAGGAAGATTAGGACACAATGTAAGTACAGCATTTTATACAAATCAAGTATAAAAGCAAAGAAAAATAATTCAGCTGTTACCCGATTTATTAAATGCGTAGCGTTCTGCGAGATGAGGAACTGCGCAGCTTTGATGGCATCAAGAACAGCTAAGATTTTGTTCTACGGAGAAGAAACAACGGCTTTCGTTTAGATGATGATGATTAAATGATTTCTGACTTAAACTTGAGGACTATTTTACTTACAGGAAGATCAGAGGCTGTTCTTTCCAGGAACCTCATACTCTGGTTCAGCGCACTCTGTAGAGCAACAAAATTTTAAGTATAAAGGTCAAAGTTCAGAGGTTAATTACATCCGTTCAAAAAATAAGCCAGTGAAACAGAAATGGAAACCAGAATCAACCGACACTTGATGAATAACATCTTTCCATGCTAAAGAGTTCTGTTCCAAAATTAAATATCCACAACGAAAAGAAAAACATGATTCAGCTTCAAAGGCAAATTAATTGTAACATATGCAACAACTAACTGGTCTTTCCTTTGCTTTCACTAGTGACTAAGTAGATAGGGTTGCTACACAACATTTCTTTTCTTTAAGTGGATATTTCTGACATTTTAGCACAAAACTCCTCACGTATAACACCAGAGTACATGAGTATAATGTACATTTAATAAAAACACACAATGCAGCCTAAAATTGGACTTTTCCCCCCTCTTTTTTAAAAAATAAATAAAATTACTCTAAATGATGTCAGTGTTTGTTAATGTTCCACAGAACGAATGGGGACACTTATTACACAAGACGAACGCATTTCTGCTTACCCTTGCTCTAACATACTTCTTGAAGTTGAAAGAGGAAAAAGAACAACATAAAAAAAAGCAGCTGTAAAAATCTGTGTTGAAGAATATCACTGCTCGTCTGAACTGCTCGTAGCTGGAAATAATTGCTGTTATTCAGAAGAATGGCATTGGCTTTGACAGGGGAAATAAAACTGAATATTTAATTTGTTTTTCACAGTCATGATGTCTTAGATGACACATGCCTGAGGGTCAGAATTCCCCATTTAAATTATATTAAATGAATCATATAAATGTCTTATCTCTGTCAAGGTTTATGTAATTCTCTGAAATATATATTTGCAAATGTTAACAGAAAATACTCCAACTTGAGTTTGGGATCCTGACATCTAACACATAAATTTTATAATAAAATAAATCTACAGGGCTCATGTCTTTTAGCTCTGTTGTGGTCCCAAGTAGAGCAAGGCGATATGACAGCTGTTTTATGTGAATTAAAGTTATATAAAAATTTAACAGTGCAAATGCAAATTCCTTGCTGACAGTTTAACCAAAAGGCATTTCCAGTGGAAATTGGCCGACATATCCTCAGCATAACCATGTATAATATCCACAAAACTTAAAAAGAGGTTATACACACACAATACGGTAATATTATGTTGAAGCGCAGTACGTATCACTCCGCGAGGCTCCTCCTACGATGCCGTAATGCTCCGACAATCCATTAAGCGGTGCGGCTTCGTAGCTTAGCAAAGTCTACTAAAACATTTGACAGATTTTCGAGCGCCGTGTACATAAAATCGTTTCGAGGTCAGTAAACACAACCAGAATTCATACATAAGGCACACGGGATTATAAGGGGCACTGTCGATTTTCAGAAAAATCAAAGGACTGATTTAAAGTGTGCCAGCTCCAGACCATTGAAGCTGCAGCATTTTTACAAACCAATTCTGGTTCATCCGTTTCATTCAACGATCCGCTTTCGCCCTTCTCATTCTCCGTCACCGCCGGCACGCTTTTTCCGCCATGTGCGTATGAAAACAAAGGCACCGCCCATGCGCGTTTTTACCCAAATTCTATCGCGATATTTCATTTTCTTGTCGTTGCCCAACATTATACCGGTATTACCGTGAACGGTATGATATGGCCCAGCCCTAGTCCCAAGTAAAATATGTAGCTCAACTAGCCACTGGTTGCTTATGTCTCTGTATTTTGACACCAGGCAAAGTGTTATGTTAGGCCTCAGTAACACAGGCCTAGATACCAGTTGGCGATCCCCAGTCTGACTGAGTGGTCCTCGAGGTTACTGTATGAAATAGGTTGTAAAAAGGGTGCTGCAACAAACTCCTCCTTGTAAATGGACTGATTCTTATATAGCGCTTTTCTACTCTCCTGGAGTACTCAAAGCGCTCTATACAACATGGTGCATTCACCCAATCACACAAGCACCGTCTTCTAAGTTTCTTAGTGCCAACATATCGGAGAGCAATTTGGGGTTAGTATCTTGTCCAAGAATACTTGGCATACAGACTGGAGGAGCCGGGGATCGAACCACTAACCTTCTGATCAGTAGATGACCTGCTCTACCTCAGTGTTGTGATAGGTTATATCACTAGCAGTCCATGGTACTTTGCATGGAGGACACTAAATGGTCCGCAGACACTCATGAGGCAAACCACTAAAAGGTAATGACACTTGGAAAAAGTGTGTCACCAATTGGAAATGGAGACTGTCTGCCTATCTTCGAAACCAAAATGTTTCAAAAGGCACGACATATACTTTGAAAGCAAATGATGACGTGACCCATTTCACCAAGCGACTGCCAGCAAACTCCAGCAACAATTCACCAACTTGCTGGGGAATGCACATTTTTTCTTACCGACCAGTAGTTACCAACCAGTACACAGTATAGGCCTGTGCAAGTAGGGCCTCAGGTTTAAAAAGCCTAAAATCAACTACCCACTGAGGTGGGAAAAGTAAAGACAGTGGACCGAAAGATTTTAAATATTCTTTAGAGCTTAAGAGAACTGAATTTTTTGTTTACAATCATACAATATATACATAGTAAACAATATATGGGATATATAGGATGCTGCCACCATAATGAGACCCTGTTTTTTGTCAAGTAAATATCTTATTCCGCTTCTTTCCCCATCCTCTTAATTAATTCATTTTTCTTCATTTTTTAAAGTTTGGCCATTTTAGTTAAAATGAAGATTAGCTTGTAATATTTACTGACTAAAACTAATTTAAATAAACACACAAATAAAGGCATCTAATACATACTTTTATCACTTCTATAATTCACCTGAAAGTCATATCAATTCCTGTCTGAAGGGAGGGGCAGGCAAACAACCATGACAACTGAACACACCAAATTAATGCAAATTAAATCAGCAACCACTGGCACATAGTTTTGAAATGATGTAGGACGAATCTTTCCTCAAAGAGAATAACTAAATGAATCTAAGCAGAAAACAGAAATAGCTATCTCAGTAGTAAACAGAGAAACACAGTAGGGCATTACCATGGATTGCTCCATTGGGACGATCTGTTGCCTGTGGATCTGCCGCAGAGTGCTAACGTGGCCTTTCAGAGAAGACTGCAGATTACTTTTGGGCTGAAACGCACAAACAACCACACAATCTTGAAATATATGAAGATAAATATATCAAAGGCTTAGATGGAATTGAAGCACATATATTATACATTAATTTTCCTTGCCTTTTATATAACAGTACATTAGAATATAGTTCTTTATCCCTTTCATCCAGGAGAGGAATCAAATTATTGAATTTACGGAGCAGCTGGGTTTACTTCAGGACAACAAACTTATGGGACCTTTAGATTAAAATCTCTTTAAAAGCCCCTTTCTCTAAAATCAACTAACTACAAACTCCATCTTTCTACAGGATCCTAATGGACTAATTGAAAGTGAATGAGCATGCTGTGCTGCCCTAAATGCAATGGACGGCAGTCACACATCATTGGGAGCTTTTATTTGTTCAGGCAGAGCCGTTGAGAGAGAGCTTAGAGAGCAAGAACATCCATATTTTCTTTTCATTTTTTGCCATCAAGTGCTCCTGTGGCATTGTAAGTACATAAGCAAATTAAATCAGTGTGCACACAAAAGAAAACACTTTATACAACCACTACTGGGTGCTTGTATAAAAGCCAGATTCTTACCATCAGGTCTGTCTGGGCCTCCAGTTCCCTGGCAAATGAGAGTAGATCCACTACAGTGACCCCCTTATTCACCTAAAGATATCAAAGTAAAAGAGAACAAAATATAAAAAGTAAGGTTGTTTTCCTTTATAGTAGCAAAGTTAAATTAAAGATGTTTTTTTGTCCACTCCTTTTCTTTTAGCTACATTTTCACCTTCATCCTGTAGTTTCTTCTGTAGCAGCTTTTCAACTGCACAGATTCCAGTCAATTAAACCGCTAGAAAGCTATTTAATATAACTTTTTGTCACTTATATTATTTCCAACAGACAGCAGAGAGACATGCTGCACATAAAAATGTGTCAGCTTGACTTTTGCAGGGTGTGTGCGTTGAGTATCGGTCAGTCTTTAAAGCTTTTTTTTTTTATTGTCAGTCACTCTGGGGAAATAATTCTATGTGAACCTGACGGGTTGTGTTAGACAAGACATGAAATGCCAAGTCCCTGCCTGTTCCTACATCCTCTTTGCCTTGGCAGGATCACCTTTGGATAATTGAGCTGCAGTGGTCCTCGACGAAACCCACTGTTCTGTATCACACTGAAGCTCTTATCAGGCGAAGCATGGCTGCCTGTTGTATGTTAACTGACAGCAGTGGAGGTGCCTCTTAGACTGCGCCCACAGAAGTGAGCTATTTCTGGTAGCATACCATTAAAGCACAGCTGAAATATGTTTGTGTGTAATTATGTAAGAATTTATAACAATTCATTATTATTTGACTCCCCACTCTTTCTACTTGGATTGTGCTTTCTCAGATAAACCGGTGCATCTACAGAACAATTCAGTCTAGTAATCACAAAGAAATACCTTGGTTGTGTAGCTGTTTTACACACATATTGTGTGTGTCTCCTTCTGTGTATTGCTTCTTGTCTTTGTTGTGTATGCTGGCCTGTCCCTTGCAGGCACACAAAACCACACTACTTCCTGCGTGGTTTTGTGTGCCTGATTATCCAATTACGCCCTTCCCCCTTCATTCATGCATATTTTAAGGGATTTATTTGTGTTGCGCATTTTTTTCTTTCCCGCTGATGTGTTTGCTCATTCCAGTATGCTTGTGCTGATGTGTCACCTCCTCCAGGTAGTCGGCGTAGTTGATCTCTGACAGCCCTGCTTCAGAGAAATCCAGGAGGTTCTGCCTTCCCTCTGCCTCCAACAGGATTATGCCTCTCAAGTCGATCTTAAGACTGTCCAGCTGACTGACCACATCCTTTGTGAACTGTTAACACAAAGATATGAAATACTTTTTTAGTTTAGTTGTTCTAGAATGTATATATTAAATGTTATTCATGCATATTTTATGTGTATGCTCCCATTTTCTTGACATAACATCAGAAAAAAAGGTGGTAATCTTAGGACTTTGAGTAAATTTCCAGTATTGTGACTGTATAAACATAAAAATAATGAAAGGCTTCCAAAAACACAAAACAAATGTTGGCACACGAGCGACCCAAAATTTTAAAGATGTGGTTTGGATGGAAGTCTACATATACCAGTGATGTTTTCTCTAGATTTTTTTGTTTTACAGTCCCCAGTCATACATTTCTCTACATAATCCTTTCATTTAATAGTAAATAGTAAGAGTACTTTTGCTTGCACTGGACTGTATGCTTTAAGGACTGTTGTCCCAAAAAGCAAAGCCATAGCCGTACCGAGACATATCTTGGCAAGTGTGATTTTCATGAAAGATGTCGTGAATAGAAATATGTAATTTCACAACTAAAAAAGAAGTTGTTGTTTTGTGGCACTTTAAAGACAACCAGACCAAAAATACTGACTATAAAAGCTGTTCATAGATGACATGGTTGTATGTTTATGTGTTTCCAATAACACTAGAAATGTCCTGCATGTGATGGGTTGCACAACTTTTCTTTAATATAGAAAATTCTACAAAGAGATGAGCTGCACAACACTCCATACACTGAATCCACATACGCCAATGACACCCCCATTTACTGCCTGAAAATATAGTTTTTTAAACTTTTTTTGTAATGAATTTTGAAATGTGAATACTTATGATCAATTCAAAGGTATATATCATAGACTATATAAATATAATAATATTTCATGTCACCATTTGGTGTTAAAGTTGGCACCCATGCTGGATACAACCTAGAGCCATGTGAGAAACTGCTGTGCATTTATACAGTGAGATAAATTAGAGTTACTATGGTGATAACAAGCATGTTAGCTTAAAAGAGGGAAGCTCTTCTTAGAATAGATGTATATTCACAATAGGGGGGAGTTTTTAGATTTGCTGCTTATAGCTTGTATGATTGGTAAATTAACAGAATAAAAAGTGTCAGACTTTTAGAACAATTTTCAGGGTTTAATGAAGAAAAATGAACAATATCCAGGAGCCGCATGGAACATATCATCTGTTGGCGACAATGAGTCAAGGCAATTGTGCCAACTGGCAGGAAAGTGCTGAATGCAGAGGTGGCTGGCTTACAGTCACGGGGAAATAGAAACTTAAATCAATATAATGTCACACAGGCGTACACTGACTTAAGGGCTAAAGCATGCTGAAATTATCAGCTGTCAGCATCCCTTTTAGTTCGGGACCTAAGAACTTATAAGGTAATGCAAACAAAGTACTGCAGCCTTGACTGCAGATGTCTGGGACCTTATTTCCTGTAGAGTTGTTTTTTATCCAGCTGTTTTATTATGTTTTGCGAGTGGGAGGGAAGAGAGAAAACATTACACGTGGACAAAGATTACCCCTGACTTTACCCTGATATGTGAGCAACATCAGAGTTATGCTTTTTCAGCTGATTGAAATTCGTCCTATTAAAGGTTAATATAATGTATCATTATATGAACTGGTAATGTAAAGTGTATAACACTTTAGGAGAAAAAAAGAGCTATTTTAGTTGCTTCCAGCTATTATAAGACAACATCCTATCATAATAATAACTACAACAGAGTACGTAAAGGTTACTAACCACTGTGGTGTTGAGGTAAGAGGAAATATTGAAGACTTTGTCCAGACGCATGGCAGAGTAGATGCCTTGGTTCTTTTTGCAAGTACTAATGAAGACAACAAATACACACAGAAATATCAGAAAGGGGGAAAAAAAGAAAGAAAGAGAGAAAGAAAAATATCAACATGTAACTTTCTGTCATAGTTAAAATATTTGCTGCCACCAAGTGAAACTGACTGGAAGTACATGACTAATATGTCCATTTTTGAGAGACAGTGTATTATTCACAAAAAGCTTAAAATGTTTGCAAATATATTAAAGCTAAAAATGCCTTGAAAGCATTTAGGTAGCCACATATCTTAGACTTGCTTTATAAAGTGTGAAAACTTGAAAACACATTCTGTTTGAAAATGGTGACGATGAATCTGCCATCCCAGTATACTGAGAATGCGCAGCTTCACACTGCAGGAAGATGATGAAAGCTCGTGTAATCACTAAGAAAGGGGCTGCAGAAAAGCAGTGCAGACAGCGTAGAAAAAAAACTATCCTAATTAGCAAAGCCAGGTTAATAGTAACCCTCTCCTTCTTTCTCATTTGTATCTCCATCAATGGAAACAAGATACTCAGTCACATGCTTGATGTCTGACCCTAAGCCAAATGAAAAACAGCATCATCGATTAATTTCGCAGACTATACTTAGATAAATGGGTTGTCTTGCTGAAAAAAAAAATCATTCATGTTGTTGTAAACTAGTGTATGCATGAAATATAGAGAAGACAGGTGGAGAAGGGTGTGAGAATAATGGCGTGACAGTGTCATCTAAATACACAAAAAATCCTTTTCTTTGCCTGTATAAGCTCTCTGTTGTCAACTTCAGCTCAGAGTCGTTGTACATGTAGCCAGGGATGAAGTTCTTCCACTCTGGGTTGATCATATATGGAGTATCCACAACCTGGTGAATTAGAGTGCAGGAAACAGGATGTATAATCAATAATTCCTATGGAGAAGCAAAATGAATCCATCAGTAAATTCATTAATGTAAATTCAAATTAGAAACAAATGTGCATCATCGTCCACGATGCAGTTCGTCCTCACTGAGGCGGCAAGAAAGTCGAGAAGAGCAATCATGGAGGCACAGAAGAAAATGCTGAAAATTAATTTCATTTGCAGAAACTTCTATAAATTACTTAAGAGACCCCACTCCAAATCTGACAAACTTCGTTCTCTTTCATGAAAATAAATGAAGAAAAATGGCAGAATATTTCAGCCTTTTTTTTGCCCATTTCTTTATTTGTTTTTTAAACTTGAGGCAAAATTCGATCTTCTGAATTATGGATGGGTTGAGTGCAGATGCATTCAGATTTAATGCACATAACAGCTTGCCCCTGAAAACTGGCAGCAAATGCTATTCCAATGAGCCCACCTAAGGGACACCAAGTTTTATGTAGTGTGGTTATACTAACAATTATCTGTGCCAGTGGTTCCCAGACTGTGGGATCGCAGAATTATAACTCGGGGTGGAGTGAAGCTGAATGAAAATGACACATTGGTTCTGCACTGCTAACAATGCACGGACACATTTTTGAGAGGACTGCCCAGTAAAGCTAAAGCAGATTAATCTACACCAAATGTCACAACCACCAAAACAAAAACTAAACACTATGACGAAGCACATGCCGGCCTCAGCTTTACCACAGTGGGTAATGAAGAGAGATCACAGTGTGCTGTGTCTGAAAATATTCACTTCTGAATGTATGAAGCTAAGTTTCACTATTTACATTTTTAGTTGTATCACACACAGATACACACGTTGGATTTTTCTATTAATTACAGTCAGTTTTCAAAGAAAAATATATAGAATGTTTCTTTTACTCTTCAAGTAGGACTTTTATTTAATAATATATATTCATCTTTGAAAGCAGGGCCCTTTGTATGCATTATGTGTGGGATCCACTTTTACACAATCAAAAAACGCTCTGTTTACATTTTATCTCCCTTATCATTGCATGACTTGCCTTGAAAAGCTCTTTGGTGTGGAATGGTTCGCACACAAGTTTCTCCATGTTCCCTCCAGCCAGGAAGATGATGGTGACCACTCCCATCAGTACCCAGGAGAAGAGGAAGCTAAATCCAACTCCACTGTGGAGATGAACAAATAGTCCCTGTGGTATAGCTGATGTGCACAATTCTAACACAGTGAACTGTAGCTTTATAGTGAAACAAGCTGTTGTTAGTACAGTTTTAATAACTGTAAAAGCTACTAGAACGTGTACAGTTATACTACAGTCGTACTTGTAGGCGTTAAAATAGGAACATAAACCTGAGTTGTGGCAGCTTTTTACACTTTGCATACTGGACTTACGCCATAAGCATCGTTCCTCCTGTATTGGAGATGCAGCCCCGTGTTGTAGGTGAGGCATGTTTGTCATAGCCCAGCGTGCCGCACAGCAGGCCCAGGTAGTTGAAGGCCAGGACCAGGACCACCATGCAACAAAGAGCAATGCAGCCAATCCACCTGAAGGCAGCAGGCAAAGCCAAACTATTAGAGATCTCACAGAAGGTGGTTTACCACAAAATATAAATAAGCACAGTTCCCACTGTGGTTTATATCAACAAACTGTCAAAGCATCCTCGAGAAAGAGAGCTTTGCTCCACTTGCTTATCCAGCCAAAAAAGCACATAAGCACAGAAACTAGGATGGGTACAATGTAAATAGAACACAAAGCTTACTAAAAAGGAAAAGAGAAAAAACATAAAGCAAGATAAATGTCAAACATCAGGCATATTGCATTAATATAGTTACCTTGTTTCAGCACATTTACATGATAGTTTCTTTACTTTTACCCTTAGAGGTTTTCCTTTTATGCAAAGCACTTATAAATACACAGATATGCTTTGTGCAGTGAAGCAGAATACCTGTAGAAGTCCATTTTGTCAATTTCTGGGTAGTAGTCTTCAATCTTGGCGTGCACGTGGTTAACGAAGATGGTGAAGTTGGACAGGCAGCTCTGCACTGGGAATGCCTTGGAAAAGCTGCTGATGTTATTGCCAATGGTATCCACCAAATTTGTTACACCTGAGAGAAATTATTTTTTCAAAACAGAAAAAATGAAGAGTGTAAAGATACTTGAAAAATAAATAAATTCATCAGTTTTACCATTTTGGGGAAAAATATTAACCCGGATTGAAATTTAACATTGAATTAGACGACTATATCAACAAACGTTTAAAGTGAAATCTGTGCAATTCAAAAAGGCCCCATTCTTGCTACAAGAAACAAACTTACAGTACATAACAAATGAAACATAAAGAGAAACGCAGAGAGTGTAAGGAGAACATAAAAATCCATTCATTTATATAAGCACTTATTGTAATAACATATATCAAGAGTTATTAACTTTTGTGTTTGATTTCAGAAAAACATCGGTTCAAAAGCCACTTACTCTCAACAACACTTCTGGTCTGTTCAATCACCATATGTGGCGTGTCATTCAAAGAGGAGAAGCCCTGTGAAAGGAGGAAAAACAAGAAGGTGTCATGATCCTGGGTCTTTTGACCCAGCGTTTTAAGTTTGAGTTTATTTTGTTCATTAGGTTGTCTAAGTTCATTTGTTTATTAGATTCCCCTTGTGTATCCAACCCCTGTTAAGTCCTTCATGTGCTTCATGTCTGTGTTTCTTATGTTGTCATGTTTGCGTTTCATTATGTTTCCCATTTTATTTTGAAAGAGGTCCTGTGTTCCTGC